CTGCACCAGGGAGCAAAGGCCGGCGGGGAGTCCTGCCCGTGCCTCAGCCCTCTGCGCCGAACCACCAGCGACCCTCAGCACCGCGATGGAAACCCGGTAGCTCTGTCTTTCCCATTACCAACTTGATTATTTCCTCTGCCCCTGATTAAAATCGAAGCCACGAAAAGGAGCGAACATTTCCCTATGAAATCGTGCAGGACACCGTCCACCTTGGGCCGTGGTGTTTTCAGGATACGAAGGAACTGGAAGCAAGCGGAGAGCAACCAACACCATCAGCCAACGGCCTGCCAGGGAGGAGGAAAGCACTGGGGTGGTTTCGTCTCAAGAAAACAACCGAGATCTCGTAACAGCCTCCAAAGGTGTCAAAGGGAACGAATCGCTGGGCTTGGACAGCAGAGGGAGGATTTCTCTTCTCCCAACACATAAACTGAGCAGTGAAGCGCAGGAACAGACCACGTGGAGGACTGTGAAGTCTCCCGCAACAGCGTTTTTTAAGAATCAACTGGAAAACCTGCGGAGCGGATCCCGCTGTGGGGGAGGGATGGAGAAGGCGACCTCTTCAACGTCCACTGAACCTCAAGCTCAGCGTGACACTAGTTCGAAAATCAGTTTTGACTGACAGCCAGCACAGCGACGGCCGCAGAAGGGAAGGCGTTCGCTCCCCGAGGACAGCGTGAAATATTTGGGAAGAAACTCTCTTGAGCCCAAGGGAGAACACTCCGGCGCTCCTTTGGGGACGCTGCCGAGGCACGGAGGGCGCCTGCAGACACCGCCATCGGCTGAAAGCGTACGAGCGCCACGAGAGCCCGCGTTGTTCCAGGACTAGCAGATAACCTGAAAATCCCCAAAATCGGTTCTTTTCGGCCGTGACTGTAAGCCACAGGCCATCCTGACAGAGAACATCGTCAGTGTAGCCCCGCAGGGGACCCCAGCGGGAAGCTTTCTGCTCCGCAGCCCCGAGAGGAGCCGATTTCAGAGCAGGACTCGCCCGGGCGCACCCAGCCCCGCGGCGGGGCAGACCTGGGGCCGAACGCAGCGCACCGGAGGCGGTTGCCGCACGACTCCCCGCCCCGTCCCCGCTTACACCTTCCACCCCGAAAGCAAGGCAGAGGTACCAGCGTGGACAAACCCTTCGGAGCAGCAGCAGGAACACAAACCTTCCTTTTCCCGGAGGCGGTTCCGAAGTTCTGTCGTTACCCCAGAGCTGAAGGTGCTTCTTGAATTCGGTAAATCCGAAGCCCCGTGAGCTCGGCCGCCGCTGTGCCCTCTAGTGGAACCCTCCAGGTTCGGAAGGGGAAGCTTTTCCTGGTCCTGGTCTGTCAACGCATTTGTTTCATACAATGTACATGACATTTGGTTTGCTCACTCTGAAAAATAATGAACTGTTAGAAAAAGAGGCGATGCTAGGATATTAAATATTAGAAAGACCACTCATGACAGTAGTTATTTGAATTTTAACAGAGATTTGCCCAAGAACGCAGAAGTTACTTCTCACAAGTGTATTTCTGAAGAGTGCTTGCTCTTGTGGAAGGCGAAATTATCAGAAATCAAATCAGTTATATGCTAATCTTAGGGTTAATTAGAGACAAAGCCATAATTTGAAACGCTGCAGAAAACACAAGCAGTGAAACAATCGCCAAAGGGCAAACAAATCCCAAGCCTGCACGCTTCTTGCGGCGCCTGCCTGTGCAGGTGGTTGGTATCTGGAATATGTCTTTTCCCTCCTTTAAATGAAAATATCTTCTAATCTCATCTGCTCTGCAGCAGGCGGGGGCGCTGCTGAAGGTGACTCTGCTAACGGGAGCTGCAGACCGACGGGAGACGAGGGTCCCCGGAGGAACGGGCAACACCCCAGCCCAAGGCTGCCAGGAGAAGCCTCCCCGCCGCGGGAGGAGGGGCTCGCCCGCCCATGGGGACAAGCTGCAGCTCAGGCAGTTCTGACGCCAGCAGCAGCGTCTTGCGCCCGTCCCGCCTCGGCGTGTTGAAGAGGCGAGAGCGGAGACTCCAACTGGGCAGGTCTGGGCTCACGGACCTGCTGAGGGGCGAGTCCAGGCTCGTGTCACACCCACGTCATGCCCACCTTCCAGGATTGACACCGACGTCCCTATCGCAGCCCAGGGCTGCTGGGGCCAAACACTCTCAGCGCTTCGAGGTCCAGCAGGTTCGGCCTTTTGGGAGGCAGCCGGGCGCTGGGGAGAGGGACAGGCTGAGGCAACAGCACGTTATTATTTCACAGTTATTTCGTGGTTATCCCATCAGGTCATCAGCTTCTGCAGCAAAGCGAGTCTGGGATGTGCAAAGGATCCTCCCCAGCCCCGCAATTCGTTATCAGCGATGCTGCCGCAGCGATGCCGAAGCAATTCCCCTGTGAAAGGCGCAGCTCGAGCGCCCTGCACGGTGCCACCGTTTTGGCAAGGTTTTACCACAGCTTTCCACAGAACCACCGCGCAGAGGCCTTCGGCCCCGGAGGTGATGCCCAAGCAGCAACTCAGACCTTTCCCCTGAGGAGATTCAAAACTTTCATTACGGCCAACAATTGTAACGAGACGAAGTTTGGCACAAACCAGCGAAAACAGCAATCCTGTTCTTACACAGAGGCGAGCTTGTTTGCAAATTCCGGTCTTTGCAGAAAGGGATCAGTTTTTTCCCCCCCTCAGTCCGAGTCGGCTGCTGCAGCTTAATGACAGAGACCAGCTCAAGAACAATCCTTTTCACCAGCAGCTAAAAACGTTTTCATCTAAAAAGCTCCAGCAGTGGGTTGTTCCATCACCCATTTATGTTGACAAATACACCCTGAAGTACAGC